ATCCTCCCATGTGCTTCCCCATTGATTATTGTAACGTCTATATTACTTCTTGCCCCTGATCTATTTTGATAAGTTGGAGGATTATTGGGACAGTTCACGACTTCCAATTAAAGCTCGTGAACAAGTCCCTCTAATTCCTCCCTCAGATCCGTCCGACATAGCGTTTGCGTCGGCCACAATAATCACAGGTGTTTGTGCATATTTTGTGGCGATAGATCTTATTCGTTGTAAGTATGGTTTCACCCATTTTCCCACCTTCGTTGTCACCTCAATGTATATACAGTGCGTATCACTATATTGTTTGATTAAAATAGCTGTTAAATTTCTGTCGAAGACCACATTAGCTGACATTGGATTTTCTCCTAGAGTATGGCTCTTGTATGCATACTAGGTCCGGACTCTCCTCTTCTGCGACCTTCCTTATTTCATGTAGCTCGATCGCACTTTGCATGCCGTTTATTTGTCCTACCTTTATGGATGTCTTGTATGTATATGACTCATAGGTCATCTCTGTGTAGGATCTATTGTGATTCGTCCATGCGTCATGACAAATTGATCCTACAGTTCTTCAAGGTCCAGCACTTCCCCCCTTCGCTCAAATACTTTGTCTACAAGTTGTTTTAACTGTTCCGGCTCGGTCGGAAGATTAACACTTCTCAGTGTAATCCTGTCAACCGCCTCCGGAACGGGGAAGGTCACTCTATGTCCTCTCGGGTGTATATTTCTGGTTAGATGTCTGAGGGCCGTAATCAGCAATTGTGGTTCTTCTAATCTACTTAATCTCATGCTTATTTCTACATTTCGGTAGATAAACATGGGGTTTGTTATTGTTGTTGTGTTTTGTATATCAGGTTGATGTTGGGTTTTATTAATTTCAGGTTTTATTGTGTTGTCCTGTGAAGAATTATCTTGTTGTAGTTTTCTACTCTTTTTAAACTGTATGGCACGCATTTTGTCCCGTAATTTTTTTGATGGTTGTTTATGTTTATTGTGAGACTGTACAGTACACTGATGTTCTTGGGTATATGTTGTATTCTTTGTTATATCTTGTTTTTCTTTATTGTCCATAGTCATTTTTTTGTATTGTGCGTACCAACATCAACTTGTATGTTTGACAGTCCTTTTGCGGTTTGTTACATCTTTTATTTCGTTTTTTGCATACCATGCATACGGGTTGTTTTTCTTTGTTTTTGCGAGCCTCTTTTTGTGATCCTCTTCGCCACAATGTGCACTTGTGATTTTTTCTTTATTTCAATGTTTCTGCACATGACCTAAATAGTAGTAATATAGCGGTTCTGGATAGTAGTGGGGTGATTATTTATGGTATTATTATCTCCTTTCTGCGCATGGGCGAGGCGTGGCTTGTGTATTTTTATTTCTGATTGTTTTTTTTTTCGACCAATGAGCGTTCGTTCTTTTGGATAAGAGTGGGGGTATGACCGTATATGTTATTATTTTTCGAGGGGCGTGGCTTGTGATATCTTTCGACCAATGAGCGTTCGTTCTTTTGGATAGGAGTGGGGGTATGACCGTATATGGTATTATTTTTCCGTTATGAGCATGCGGGGTGTGGTTTGTGTGTGTGTGTGTTCTTGTCTTGTGATTGGTTGTTGTTTTAGAGGGGGAGGCGTGGCTTGTGATATCGTTCGGCCAATGAGAGAACGCGAGCGCTCGTTAATCTTGAAAAACAAGATGTCGTCGTCGTGGGAAAATGACTGCGGCGGCGGCGACGGCGGCCATAGCTGAGGCGTGAAATATGAATATGTGTGATAAGTGATAATGATTGTACTATTGTTTGTTTTTTTTTGCAGAGTGGGGTGGATCATCTATTTTGAACTCTTTCCTTATTATGATGATTATAAAAACATGGATGTTCCTCCTGGAATTGTTGGTGTTTTTATCTTTTTAAATTAAATATTTTGACAACTTATTTTACGCGCAGTAACGGATCCATAACTAACGTTATATAATTTTTTCTAAAATTGTTTATATACAGCATTTGAGATCTTATCTGCTTTGTGTTTGCGATTATAGTAAATTAAATTAAACTTTAGCTTTCATTTAGATTATAATATTTTTTATTTACATATAGGTATAATACAAAGTAGACCATCGAAGTGTTCCAGAACCTCTATAGCTATACTACTAGTGGTGTCTTATAAAACCAAAAAAATTATAGGAACTGACTATTGTTGTTGATGTAGTATCCCATGTCGTTAGGAAACATTTGCGATTCACCGCCGACGACGATATCCTATATACAGCATTTGAGATCTTATCTGCTTTGTGTTTGCGATTATAGTAAATTAAATTAAACTTCAGCTTTCATTTAGATTATAATATTTTTTATTTACATATGGGTATAATACAAAGTAGTGTGGTGTCTTATAAAATAGGAACTGACTATTGTTGTTGTAGTATCGGTAGGAAACATTTGCTATTCGCCGCCGACGACGATATCTTCCTCCTCGTCATCCACAAAAATTTTATCGTCGTGGTTGTTGTCAGAGTCCTCTATAGATCGCACCGCATTTAGTAGTTCATTTTCTTGTTGTTCTTGTTGTTTTGCTTGTTGGTCCTTAAACTCTATACATTTCATTAATTCAAGGTTATATATCTTCCCCTTTTGTCCATGATTTATTAATACATAAGTAGACGTAGATAATTCCAACAACTGTCTGTCGTCTAAACCGTTGAAGCCTTCCCAGTTCCTAAGACATCTACGGATGTTAGCCAGCAACATCGTAGGCGATCCTGTTTTGCGAACAATATGGCTGAGTCGATTACTAACACAATTACAACCCCATCTGGTAACTAAAACCGAGAGTACACTCGATCAGCTAGCGGAAATGGCCGATGCAATTCTGGAAGCTACACGATCACCACCGCAGGTAGCCGTCAATAGCGTAACTAATGAAACATCCCTGGAGATAAGGCTTGCACAATTGCAACTAAGTATACAACAGCAAGTGGCAGAACAATTATCGGCACTACGAAGACAAATCGATGCCATCACTGTTCCCGAAAGGCAACGCAGTCGGGATAAATCACCACATCCCCGATCTCGTTCTGGGAGACGATCTAATTCAAAAGACATGGGGCACGCATCTAACGGACTCTGTTGGTACCATTGGAAATTCGGTCCTCAAGCCAGAAAATGTCAACCACCATGTACTGGAAACCAACAGGGAAACGGGACAGGAGGTCGCTAATGGCGGCAAGCGACAGTCAAAACCTCTTGAGCCGTCTCTTCGTAGCTGATAAAACTACAAAAATTCAATTTTTAATCGATACTGGCGCCGATCTATGCGTATATCCACGTTTATTTGTTCATGGTATATGCAAAAGATCGAAATATGAGTTGACAGCCGCAAACGGAATCATCATTCCAACATATGGTACGATCAACCTATCGCTAAATCTGGGATTGCGGTGTGTATTTATTTGGTCGTTTGTTATCGCCGAGATACCAAAAGCCATCATTGCAGCAGACTTTCTAGCACACTTTGGACTTCTCGTAGATCTACAAAATGGACGTCTTATCGACCCTCTAACAAAGCTGACATCACATGGACGAGTGGTCAATTGTAACATCGAAAGCATCAAGATGGTTACCGGTACTTCACCTTTTCATAAATTGCTTCGACAATTTCCCAACCTTACTCGACCCAACAGTCAAATACAGGAAGTCAAACATAACACCGTTCACCACATCCGAACAAGCCCCGGACCACCAGTTTTCCAGCGACCACGACGACTTGACCCACGACGCCTAGAGATAGCAAGGAAAGAATTCGAAACAATGTTACAGCAAGGGATCACACGTCCATCCGATAGCTGTTGGTCCTCGCCGTTACACTTAGTACCCAAGCAAGACGAGCAATGGAGGCCCTGTGGAGATTATCGTGGACTAAATGCACGGACAATACCAGACCGTTACCCAGTAAGGCACATCCACGATATAGCACATACGCTCAATGGCAAGAACATTTTTTCGAAAATCGACCTCGTTTCGGGCATACAACCAGATCCCTGTGGCGCAAGATGACATCCCGAAAACTGCTATTACGACTCCTTTTGGTCTTTTTGAATTCCCTTTTATGACCTCCGAACTTCGTAATGCAGCCCAAATCTTCCAGCGATTTATGGATGAGGTACTGCGAGGATTAGATTTTTCATTTGCATACATCGATGATATACTCGTTGCATCCGAATCACCCGAGGAACACGAAGAACATTTAAAAGTACTTTTTGAACGTCTACAACAATTTGGGATTGTAATAAAGGCGTCAAAATGCACTTTCGGTAAGACAGAGGTAAATTTTCTAGGATACTTGATTACAAGCAATGGTACTAGACCATTACCTGAGAAAGTACAAGCCATCACCGATTTCCCAAAACCAGAGTCAGTAAAACAATTAAAGCAATTCCTGGGAATGGTAAATTTTTATCGTAGATTTATACCCAACGCCGCAGATCAACAAGCCGTTCTAACCAACCTTTTGAACAATAATGCCAAGGGAAAAATGCCGATCACCTGGACAAAAATAGCCGAAGAAGCCTTTACCACCTGTAAGGATAGCGTATCACAGGCAGCACTCCTAGCGCATCCGACACCCAACGCACTTCTTGCTCTTACGTGCGATGCTTCAGACACTGCCGTAGGGGCAGCCCTGCAACAAAAGGTCAACAGCCATTGACAACCACTAGCGTTCTTTTCCCAAAAATTGAGTCCTGCTGAACGCAAGTTTAGCGCTTTTGATAGAGAACTTTTAGCCATTTACAAAGCAATTAAGCACTTCCGTCACATGTTAGAGGCGACAGTATTTACTGTATTCACGGACTATAAACCAATTACCTTCGCATTTAACCAGAAGCCTGAAAAAAGGACCCCCCGTCAAATTCGCCATCTAGATTTCATCAGCCAGTTTAGTACGGATATACGTCATATATCCGGATTGGAAAATGTTGTCGCGGACACACTTTCGCGTATCGAAGAAATGAATACACCCCTCAACTATACAGCTCTGGCCAAGGATCAAGAGGATGACGTGGAATTACAATCATTTCTTCATTCAAATTCCAGTTTGAAACTCAAGAAAGTGGAGATTCCCGGCACAGGTGCGACCATTTATTGTGACGTTTCTACAGCAGTGGCACGCCCGTTTTTATCATCTAAGTTTCGTCGAGCAGCATTCCATTCAATCCGTGATCTTGCACACCCTGGTGCAAAAACTACTGTGACCCTAATGACTCAACGATTTGTCTGGCCATCAATAAGGAAAGACAGTCGCGAGTGGACCAGAACCTGTATCCTATGCCAACGTTCAAAAGTTTCACGACATGTTTCAGCGCCGCTTTCATCGTTTTCAAACCCGTCAGCAAGATTCGACCACGTACATATCGATATCATCGTAATGCCCACTTCCGAAGGGAAAAGGTATTGTCTCACGTGCGTGGATCGTTTTTCAAGATGGCCGGAAGCAGTCCCTTTAGAAGACCAAACAGCAGAAACCGTAGCGAGAGCGTTCTACGAAAATTGGATTTGCCGTTTTGGAGTTCCATTGCGTGTAACAACCGACCAAGGGCGCCAATTTATGTCAACCCTCTCCGGACATCTCACTAGTATGGTTGGGATATCTCACCTTCACACCACCGCATATCATCCCCAAGCGAATGGTATGGTAGAAAGACTCCATAGACAACTTAAAGCGGCAATCAAGTATCACAGCAGCGAGCGTTGGACCGAAGTACTTCCTACCGTTTTGCTGGGAATCAGAGCCGCATGGAAGGAAGATATTAATAGTACATCTGCCGAGCTAACCTATAGACAACCACTACGACTGCCAGGGGAGTTTTTGACACCAAGGACCAACGACGACATGGAAGATTTCGATGCTTACATTAGACAACTCCGTCAAGACTTTCAAGAATTACAGCCAGTACCAGGTACGCACCATGGCCGTAGATACATATTCGTATTTAAAGATCTGGCTACAGCAAAACAAGTCTTTGTACGCAATGATGGCCCAAAACAACCACTGCAGGCGCCATATGAAGGACCATTTCCGGTAGTTAAAAGAACAGCGAAAACTCTCACGGTACACTTCAAAGGAAAAGATGTGATCATCTCTGTGGATAGGGTGAAATCAGCCTATATCCTGCCGGGCAATCATGATGATACGGTAATAACACAAACTTCAGCATCGCCTCAACAGCCCAACCAAGGCGTTCCAGCAACAACCCGATCAGGCCGAAGAATAAGGTTCACCGACCGCTACCAAGCAGGAAATCCTTAACGTTAATCACTAGCGAGGGGGTACTGTAGCGGCTAGTTTATAATAAAAATCCTGAGAATGTACATACAACCAAAATTATTATTAATCTAACAATAAAAACTGAAACAGTACGGTTATCAGTTAACATTCTCAGAAAAACATTAAGCAGTGAAACCCAACCAAAACTGGTTACCTGGAAGCGAACGGCGAAAGCAATTACGGTAACAATACAACTATCGTCGTTAAGGGTACCGAGAATTGGAACAATTACCGTATATAAAAATTTTGTATCATGTTAGGGTAGTAAGTGTTGATCTTTCTTTCTGTTACCTATACATGCTATTGATTATTTATTTATATTTATTGTTTGTTTTAATCTTTGTGGTGTGATCTTCTTTTATTATTCGTTTTATGTGTTTTGTTTGGTGTATTAGTGTGATCCAAATTATACTGTTTTTTATTTGTGTCGGACTATTATTTATTTTTATTATTAACAACAAAAACCGACAAGTGGTGACCCGACGTGAGTAATTTTGGATTCTACCCAGGAATTTCAACAAAGTGTTTTTTGTTTTTCTCCGTAACCACAATGGTAAATACCCGTACAAACAGCGAAGCTCTAAGTCGGTTAGAACAACAACGACGCCAGCTTGAGCAACAGCGACAGGAAATGGACCAGGAACGACGGGAATTAGAACGGTTACGCCAGGAATGGCAACTCCGTCAAATCCAACAAGATCAGCTGCCGCAACCTCAAGAAGCTAGTACAGTACCCACGGGACCAGCACGACAGCACCCTATAACTGCATCAGGGATTGAACGAGTAGGACTGCGTATNAGCGCTTCAAAGGCTGATATCTCACCAATCTTAAGCGGAAAGCTTAAATTGTAAAAATTTATCATTAAATTATTCTATAAAACAATAATGTCCGAACTGATATCGCGTATACTATAAGAAGATACCATGTCAGTATTAATGCCAACACCACTTAAGGTGCAAATTATCGCCCATTTGATACAAAAGATATCTCTATTCTCAACATTAATACAAGCATGTTTTCTTTGTACATTGATAGGCAAGGGAATGTAGCTCGATCCTTTTAATGGTTTATATTCATTAATATTAAGTTCTAAATAAAGTATTTTCACTAATGTCCAACCACTATCCCTCTCTTAAAATTCATCAGTGAATTGTTGTTCAAATTCTTCTTTAGTCTGAATTTTGCAGATAAATTGTTTTTTTTTTATTTCATCCTCTCCCATTCCACAGGTATGTCGTATAGTATTATAAGTGGTCTCTTTTTCTTGGGTAACTCACATTTCATTTGGTTTTCCGTTCATGTTTCATAATTTTTTCTAGGTCTGCCTCACCATCTGTTTCGATTATTAATGCCTTATTTGTTGTTCTCATCGCCTTAATTTTGATTTTGTCTGTCCTGGGATTTATTGATTTTGTGAATACCGATTCTGGCGTCTTTCCATCTGCACCATTTTGTGTAAGTATAGTGTTTGTTTTCGTTTGTTTGGGGGTCCTGTCTTGTGATTTGGTGGTGCTAGTCACCGCGGTTGTGTATGTCACGGTTGGGGTTGCCCGGAAGTCTCAAAGACTTTTTATATATTAACGTGGCGATATATACCTTTCGGTCTCCCCGCCATGGTCCCCACGGGCGCGGGATTGATATACGCTCAATGAGCGCGTGTAATCTAATGACTACATCCTTCAAGAAACCATATGTAATCCCCCCTTTTCCACAATTATCCCACCTTTCCTGCCATAAATCCGTAACTTTTTCTTTCATAATATTTCCACATTTTATACTAAGTCCTCTCAATTCCCTTTCTCCAGTTCATCCATCAAAATTCCCTTCTTTACCTTGTGTATTCTAGCCCTCATCCTAGCCAATAAATCCAAAGGAGGTGTACTGTTACGTCTAGAAATGTAGGATTTAATTTTGTTTCGGACGTACCTCGATTTTTCTTGGTTTTTCGTATGAATCGTTCTAACACACGACTTTAAACTAATATTAAATAATGTAAAAACTTGGTGACACTACTCGTTCAGTCTAATTCACTGTTTATACAAATTTAATTATTTAGTAAAGCAATTTATATAGAACGACCAGTAAATAAAGGTATTCACTTTAAATCGTAATAGAATAATCTTTATTAGGCTAATAATAAATCTTACTGACTAAAAGAAGAACCAGGGGATATATATATACGAGGGCGCTATCAATGTTTGCTTGTTCAAACGATAATGATTTCTGGTAGTCTTTACATTTCTCCCTCATTAAAATTTTTCATTAAACGTTTTTAATCAAATTGATGAAAAAAAAAATATATAACTTAGTATAACAATAATGAAACTGACTATAATGTAATTAAACGAGTAATAACTATATAAATGAAAGGCACACAAATTAAATCTTTATTGTACATTTCTAAGCCAGGGTTTTCCTTTCGTGGATAAAGCGACCTGTTCTGTTGTATCCACTGATGATTCCATTTCGGATAGTTCCATTAGCGTTGGGCCGATGATGAATGTTCCATCCTTCGTCCCAGTTGTGAACGAGTGTGTTGAGAATATTTTGTCGGGCTTTTGTTGATATTAAATAGTTTGATGCAAGGACTGCAATCGTTGTGCTTGGATCGTACCAATCTCATGCACCTCGAACAGCAGCACCAACTACAGAAAAGAATAACAAGGATACCGGTTATCGTCGCCAACAGGATCCGAAATAAGTCAACATGAGGAATAAATGCAAGTGGTTTCAGGCGTTCCTCGTAAACATCACTGTTCAAGTGTTCCAGACGATGCCGATTTAACATGAGTTATTCCCGATTTAATGAAGACAATTTGATCGGTAGAAGATGTAAGGGTATTACCTCCTCCTCCCGTTTTACACAGCAATCAACTGGAATATCAATTTCTTGTGCCTGTATATTAAGTGTTAATGTTTGATTGGCATCCGACCCGAGACGGAGTTCATTCGAAAGATAACCAGTACAGGAGCCGTGTATTGTTAAAAGCGAGTTTTGTTTGATGTTGAGTGATTGGATGTCACTGTTGGAACATTTATAGGTATAGACGAGCGGTTCCGTTGTCAAGATTAACCACCCGTTTGGACCAATTTTTGTAGCCATTTCTTCTGCAATTGGAGATGTGATACCATTGCAAGATCCGTCCCATTCATGTCGTAGAATTAATTTGATTTCACATGTTGGTGTGTCTTGCACAGAAAATATCTCCAAATTTTGCCCATAATAGTTGGTATCCATTACAATTAAATTGGAAGTAAAATGCAATTTAGTAAAAAGTAGTTTTGATTCATCAATTGCCACATAAGAATAGTCAGGTAATATAATGTTAAAGTGAGTTTTGGAAGTTCTTGAAGGGAAAGGTATTGGATACAATTGGTAAAGATTAAATGTTGTTTTAGATATTAAAGGTATTGATATTTTTATGGTAATCAAATAGTCTTTTAATTGAATTTTCAATTTACAATTCTGTAATAATTTTGAAACGTTTTCCTTTGAAATAGGGAATATTAGTTCTCTATCTTGTAATTTTTGTGAAATTATTTGAATTTCCTTTAACAGGTCGTTATCATCGATAAGACCTGGTGGTATCATCTTAATCTTTGTAAAGAGAAGGTAATTTTTAATATCAAGAACATCATGATTTGTTTCCTGAACTATTTCTGAAATAATCATTGCTAAATTTAAAATCTCCAAATGTAAAGCATTTCATTCGATTTTGTTTGAAGCATTATTTAACTTATCTGCTAGTTCCTCAAAGTTGTGATTGATAATTTTTTCATTTATGGAAAGTGTTGCAAGTGTTTTATTGAAATCCCTTATAGAGTCCTTGGTTATGTGAATTGATTCGTAAACAAATGATAATGCCTTTTTATTTGATTCTTGGAGATCCGCTAAAATTTTGTTAATTCGTGAATCATCATCAGCATCCATGGTTCCAAATAACGCGTGGAGACCATTACCAAAGATATTAATTAAGCCACGCTTACGACGAGTCGACAAGAACTCAGATTTAATGAGTCCTAGATTTTTGTCTAATTGTTTTAATTCCGTTTTGAGTAAAAGCGAATGCGTATAGTAATTTTGAAGAGTACTACTTTTTAGTTGATTTTCTAGTAACTGAAGCTTATTAATGAATACGGAAACCCTATCATAATTGTTAAAAACAGGATGGATATCTTTAATTACTACCAAGGTCCAAAAGGAAGTGATACCTCTGAGTTTACCAAGAGGTTGTGCATATAGGCCGGTTTTCGCTTGAAGGGTGGTAATTTTTATTAGTTGTTCCTCGCATGTTATCAGGGTAAGTAATCTGCAAAAAAATTAATTTGCTTTACTTTTCTTAATTGTTCAAAATTTACTGTTTGTATTGGGAATGTAGACTTTATGGTATTACTTTTTATTTTGTAGCACCTGTCGTTTATTATTTCTATGATAGTATACGGTGCTTCCCATACAAATTTTCTGCCTTTGTATTTACGTAGAAAAACCTTATCGTTAATTTGATACGTAGGGATATTTTTTAATGCTTTAGCATCGTATCTTGCTTTTGATTTTTGTTTAGCTACATTTTGATTCTGATTAGCTGCACTGCGAGTTCGTTGTATAGATTCTGCTCGTAGATCATTGGAAACTTCTTTTTCTTCAGAATTATGAAATAAATTATGTGGTTTTATGTCAAACATAATTTCATAAGGAGTATACTTAGTGCTTTGATTAATTGAGGTGTTGTATGCATGTACTGATAACTGAAGAAGATTATCAAAATTAATACGTTTTTGGTATTGATCATAAAGAGTATTACCCGTTTCTTTTATAGAAGCAACCGCTCTTTCTATAGCACCGTTCGATTTGGGGTGGTATATAGATAACTTTGTCCATTTAATATTAAGAGTGTTAATGAATTTTTCAATTGTTTGATTAACGAATTCAGTGCCAGAATCAGAATGGATCCTTTTAGGAAAAGAGAAACCAGAAGCAAA